GATGGTATTTAAATATTATTATCCTTTTTTAATCTATGAATAATCTCAAAGTTGTATAAAAAGATGAGGTGATGAATTTATATGTTACCATCACTCTCATGCCACATCTCCATTATTTTTCACGTGGTATACATATTTCTTGGGAGGAGTGAGGAGAATGAATCTAGCCGTATTTAGCCCGTATTAGGCAATAAAGAGTGAGGAATATGGGGGGCAATCCCCCCCACACCAAAGACTGATGAATGTGTGATCTTGTTCAGGTACATATCCTTAGGCTTAAATCAAAGATTTCATAGAAAAGGTCAGAAAAAGAGCTTAAGGAGCTTCCTCACCTACAGGAAACAAGGCAAAGGAGGTGAACACTCAAATGGCAGGATTAACAGCTCAGAGTAAGGGATATAGAAAGATATGAGAACATTTTTTGGGGGGGTGAAAGTCAAAGTTTTGGATCAAAGAAAGGGCCTCCAGTGACATAAAGAAAAACTCAGAAACTCTGAATGCCACTCCAATTCGCCTTTCAGAACAACCTGCCTTGCAAAGAGAGGAAATATTACCTTTAATGAAAAGATTCTTCAAGAGCCTTTAGAGTTCCAGTAACTTTTCAGTGTTGCTTCTCTTGTAAAAACTATTGCAATAATAAAAATAAAAAATAGATATTGTTTGCTTTCCATTGTTTTTTTTATGTAAAAATGAAAGTTCGTAAAAATACATTTAAAAATAATTTCTTATGTTGCATCGTGAAGAAAATGGACATTAAAACCACACTTTATTTAATTAAAGGGTTGTTATGTATTTTTTTTTTCTCATTCCCTTAAGAACTTGGAACCAAAACTAAATAGACACTATTACTATACAGAGGAATGTGTGTGAGACTATAATATACAAATACAGGTAGTCCTTGACTTACAACAGTTCATTTAAGGCGATCAAACCAGTCAGTCCTAGAGACAGTGGTGCCCCTGGTTCGCACCAGTTCTATAGAACCGGTAGTAAAACCGGCAGGAGGCTCCGCCCACCAACCCCAATGTCACCAAAGCACTTCTGCGCATGTGCAAAGAGCGCACGCACGCGAGAGCAAAGCACGCAGCCCTGCTGCAAACCGGTAGTAAAGTTAAGTAGAACCCACCCCTGCCTAGAGGAGATGAATCCTGACTGCTCTTTAGAAAGCCAGATCCTGAAGATGAAACTCAAATACTTTGGCCACCTAATGAGAAGGAAGGACTCACTGGAGAAGAGCCTAATGCTGAGGAAAGATTGAGGGCAAAAGAAGAAAGGGATGACAGAGAATGAGGTGGCTGGATGGAGTCACTGAAGCAGTTGGCGTGAGCTTAAATGGACTCCAGATGATGGTAGAGGACAGGAGGGCCTGGAGGAATGTTGTCCATGAGGATGCGATGGGTTGGACATGACTTCGCAACTAACAAAAAAAAAAAAATGAAAAACAAAGTTACAACAGCATTGAAACAATTGATTTATAATCTTTTTTCACACTTACGATTGTTGCAGCATCCCCGTAGATACCTGATCAAAATTCAGACACTTAGCAACTGACACAAATTTATGACAGTTACTGTGTCCCTGGGGTCATGTGGACATCTTTTATGACCTTCTGACAAGCAAGGGCAATGGGGAAGTGCGATCCACTTAACAACCATGTTATTAACAATAACTACAATGATTCACTTAACAATTGTGGCAAAAAAAACAACTCATAAAATGGGGCAAAATTCATTTAACAAATGTCTTACTTAGCAAAAGAAATTTTGGGCTCCTTGTGGTCATAACTCACGGATTACGTGTACTTTGATGAATAAAATGTAGTTTTTAAAGACAAACAATCAAATAATCAGAACAGAGCTGCAAGGGACCTTGGAGGTCTTCTAATCCAATCCTCTGCTCAAACAGGATTTCAGACAAGTGGCTGTCCAGTCTTTTCTTAAAAACCTCCAGTGATGAAGTGCCTACATCTTCTGAAGGCAAGCTGTTCCATTGGTTAATTTTTCTCACTCCTTAATTCCAGGTTGTTTCTCTCTTTGATTAGTTTCCATCCATTGCTTCTTGTCTTGCCTTCTGATGCTTTGGTAAATAAGTTGACCCTCTTCTCTTTGTGGCAGCCCTTCACTTTTATAATAAATTCTTGAGAACTTAACTGAAATAAATCTTTAGTAAATTATAGCCCATAAAAAGTTTTCAGTTGGCTCATCAAGCTCAAGTAAGTAATACAAAACTGAGTGGAATTTCATTTCTCATAGATGAGAGCTCACGTAGTTTCACTTCAGTGGATAACATTGTTTCTATGTATGTGTAGCAAACTGTACAAATAGAAGTTCTTCACATCAAAACAAAGCATCTCATCAAGAAGGCCTCTAACTTCAGGGTGTAGCAGTACATATTTTATCTACAAGATGCTTCACTCTCTTCAGGTTAATCCACACCAACCTAATTTTGAGATGGATAGACTTTCCACCAATAATCAATGGTTTCTAATCCTGTGTGAAATCCTCTGTCTTTCTATTCCTTGAACTGATCACATTTGTTCTACATATTAAAACTGAAGAGAGCAAGATCTGGGAGAAGAGAGGAAGGTTAGGGGGTAGATATTATGTCCAACTTTTCTAATCTTCTTAAGTTTTAAATACAGATTTAAATTGATTGTGGTTTTCAATTTCTTTAGAATGTCTTGGAAAAAGCACCTTTGGGACAATTTCATTAGAAGTTGCCAAATTAGTGTGTGTGAGAGAGGGAGGGAGGGAGAGGGAGAGGGGGAGAGAGAGAGAGAGAATGTTCTAAAGATAAGACTAATTAATAAAGAATGGAGCAGAGCAGTACAGAATCATCATTGATTTAGTCATCTGACCATACCAAATGTATAAAATCACTTTTCTGATCTTTTGGCTAAGATCTAATGTGCTGTAGTCATTAATAAAGACAAAACAGTGAGAATTGTAGAAACTGAGAAAGAATCCTGAAGTTGTTATATAGTCCAGGAGGTCTCATTGTTCTATAATCTAAAGGAGAATGAGAGGAAAGAAGTGAAGAAAACAAAAGTAGAGTTAAAATGACTATATTCCTGTTTTAATCCTCTGGAAATCAAATAAGTAATTTGTATTAAATTAACAGCAGGATGGGAATAACACATTCGTACTGGTCAGTACATCTGAGAGAGAGAGAGAGATGGAAATAGCTGAAACTAAAGGTATTTTCTTGAAATGTTAAGTAGCTACACAGTATTCCTACCAGCAAATAGATTAAATAATATATCACTACTGCACACTTGATTATTATTAAATCAATATTCCAGTGAGAAATTCTCTTTAAATAGGGTTGTTCCATAAAGAAAGTCAGTGAAATTTGACCTAGAATATAGGTTTTCACAGCTACTATTTATTTTTGAAATGAGTTCCAGCTAATGTCATGTGAGACCATGAATATGTGCTGACGTTTCATTAGCCACATTGCCCAGCAGATCTGAAACTGGAGTTGGCAATAAGTGACAGGCTTTTATATATTGCCTGTGTTCAATGGAGCAGAATGCCCCCAACCAATTACCATCCACCAGTAGATGACAACTGATAACCTTTCTCCCTATTTAAATTATTTGGAAGTTTATCATTTTTAATTGCCTCTGGGGAAATACGACTAACAAACATTAACTTATTTCTATTGTCTCACATGATAATACCCTGGAATTATTTTGTTAAATTTGATCTGCATTTCCCATTCAACAATTGTGCCTAAAATTATATATGCACATGGAGGATTGTTTCTTTGGGAAAGTTGCGCATCAAATTTTATTTGGGGAAACCATACAAATTACATATCCTTGGTAAAATTCTGCACTAAAATTGCAAGATGCAATTTTTAAAAAACTTACATGCATCCAAAGCGCACAATATAAGGATACCTGAAGGTGGATGGAAATAAATGAGTGTTGAAAGAATGATCAGAACTTTTTCACAAGTGCTTCAAATAGTCTACTCCAATTTGGGCATTCCCCACACATATGAAATTCATCTTCTAGAATTCCCAGCTATCACAATCATTCTTGTATTTGCATAGCAGAAGTAAATTTTGGAAGCTGAGTCCCCCATATTGGAGAAGATTGGACTAATAAGTGAATACTTGTGATATTGATACAGAATAGATACAGACTGATGTGCATATTAAGTATTCCAAACACTTGTACAGGACTTTTATACATTCAATGTGATAAACAAGAGCAATTAAGAACTGGATATTTTATCATTGGGTCCTTTTCACTGCTTGAAAACATCTATTGCTGTGACGGCAAACCTAGGGCACATGTGCCAGAGGTGGCACACAGCGCCCTCTCTGATGGCACGCGAGCCATTGCCCCAGTTCATCTCCGTTGCGCATGCGTATGCCCCTCCCACTGGCCAGCTGGTTTTTGGGTCTTTGCTGTGCATGCGCAGCAGTGGGGCATGTGCGGTGGGGCATGTGCACATGTGTGGGAGCACGTGCATGTGTGGGGGCATGCGTGTATGCGTGGGGGCAGGGCACATGTAGGAGGCACATGTGCATGCATGGGAGGTGGGGCACATGCATGGGGGCTGGGTGCACATTGCATTTTGGGGGTTCGGGTGTGTGCGTGCTTTGGACACTCAGTCCGGAAAAGGTTAGCCATCGCTGATCTATTGCCTTGAGGTAAAGAAAAGAATTATGTGATATTTTCAAAATGTAATAGGGTGTTTTTTCCTCCAGAATTAGTTAACAAAGTAAAATTGCAAGATGCCCAAGTGCTCATTCAGTAATGGAAGAAATAAAAGCTTTATATCAAAATCAATTTCATTTTGTTTTGCAGGACCAATGAACACAAGCAGTGAATATATGTATAATATAAAAGTATACACTAATTCTATTTTTTTTAAAAAAAATTTTTCCAGAAACTTATCTCAGATATGCATTACAGATGAGCCATTCTTTTGCCTCAGGTGCTTAATGGCTCCTATGGGTTTCCAGAAGATGCTTAGAGATTTTCTCAAAGGCCTCACTGGCAGCCACAGTGAAAAATACTGCAGCAAATTAGACACCTTAAACAACAAAGGACTAATATGACCAAACATGTGGCAGTAAGAATGGTAAAGTACATATGACATTCAGAGGCAGATATTCAACGGCAGTGTTTAAAACTACTGGATCCTATTCTCCAGCTAAGTGAGAAGATTGGCTGCTGACCATTGTAATTCATTTTCATAACAGTTAAGAGAATAAAATTATACATTTTCAGTCAAAAAAATTTTTTTTTAATTTGATTTATATGCCGCCCTTCTCCGGAGACTCAGGGTGGCTTACAGTGCGTTAAGCAATAGCCTTCATACTTTTGTATATTTTATACAAAGTCAGCTTATTGCCCCCACAAACTGGGTCCTCAATTTACCTACCTTAGAAAGGATGGAAGGCTGAGTCAACCTTGAGCCTGGCAAGATTTGAACTTACTGTAATTGCAGACAGCTGGTGTTAAATTGCAGTGCCTTGTCTGCAGAGCTATCCAGGCTCTGGATAACTTGACTGAAGTTATCTGGCAGCATTCTGCCTGATATTTTGTTGTGGAGTCTGAATAATCTCAGAGGAGTCTTAGTCTTAATTCTGAATATAGTTGAAATCCCCCAGAGGTGCAAGATAGCAATCTGGGAGTCCCTGGGACTTATAGCTTTGTTGAACCAGGGAGCTGTGACCAAAGGTAGGTCTGTGCTGTCACAGAAAATGCTTGCCTCGTGGGTTCTGTCAGGTGGCACACTTTCATAGACAGAACCCACAATATACCCATTCTGCCAGGCTAATGGAATGGCTAGAGATAATTGAGAAGTGGTCCTTTAGCTAACCAACCTTTTCTTTGAGTGGGGGAGGTAGCCATTTTTGCCCTTGTTATTTCATATCTATTGCATCTGCTTTACATGAAGCTACCCTTGAGGACCATTGGAAGTTGATTTAGCATGCAGAAGTCAAAGTATAGTATATCTTGGGTTGTTCATATCACACTTCTACTATAGGAGCCACAGCTAGCTTTTGGGTAAAATTCAAGGTGCTGGGTTATTTTTAAAGCCTTACATGGCTTAAGTCCAAGCTATTTTTAAATTCACCTGCTCTGAGTAGTATGAGATCAGGAAAAGAAGGGTGTTGAAGATTCATTTCCCAAATGGATCATCTCCAGGGTCCCTGCTGTTAAGACTTCTCCATGATTCTTCTCTCTTCTGGAATATTATCTCCCAGATATAAGATGTTTCTTCTCTATTGAATTTCTGAAGAGCCTTGAACCTTATTCCTTCAGAGGGCCTTTGGAAATGAGATACATAATACATAAAAGGTTAAATAAAAGTATGGATCTCATGCAAATAAAAACATACTATTAATTAAGATATCTTTTTCAATCTTTCATGTGAGCCTGGAAATTGATTCTTTAATGAATCAATTAATAAATCAATTAATTCTTTAATGAATTAAATAATTAAAGCAATAGCATCTTTAATATGATTCTTAAAAGAAACACACTTTCTCTTAGGTTTCCATGGAAGTCTGGAAAAAATATGCTTCTTATTTAATGAATAGCACAGAAGTGTTTTGTTCATATAGGGTCCAAACTACTCCCAAATAATGTTCAAAGATTGATTGTTGGTTGATTGATTGACTGACTGTATTCTATCAAAGCAATGTCAGCTCTTAGTGACCACGTAGATAGATTTTCTCAAAGCAGGTGCACACTTACATCCAGTTTTAACATAAACACTTTATTTATCATCTTGTTAAAATGCTACAGTCAGCTTTTTGTTTTCCAGATCTTCTTAACTATATCTCTGTGATATTTACTTTCAGCTCTGTATATCCTGGCAAAACAGACTGAGGCAGCAGTTTGTTTCGAGTGCTGAATAATTGGTTCTAACTTTTCAAAGAATAGGTAATTCAGCAGTAACTTAAACAGAAAGTATGTACTGTACCTTGAGCTTCAATAATTGCTTATGTCTAATTCATTCCAAGCCTGAAAATTTTCCAGGAGAATCAGTTATCAAAGAATAAGTTTAATTTTGTGTACAAGGAAACTGATTCTCATTTCAGCCAAGTCACTGGTGTTTTCATTGCACACAACATAAAATGTTGAAAAATATATGTATTTATCATACTATCTTAATAAAAGTTAAAGGAACCGAAATACCCTATTTTTCACTCTATAAAATGTACCGGAACATAAAACTCATCTAGGTTTCGAGGAGGAAAAATAAAATAAATCTGGAGTGCCATCTCACTGTGCATATGGAGTGCTGAATATGGAGCAACAGTGTAGTGAGGGCAGGAGGCGGAGCCTGAGAGGACCACAGATAGGTGTCCTCTCATGTGCCAGCTCTGCCTATTGACTACTGCACTCTGCCACAGCCCGGCTGTGATATTCGCTCCATAAGACGCACAGACATTTGCACCCACTTTTGGGGATAAAAAGTGCATCTTATGGAAGGAAAAATACGGTACTTCATTTTATTGGGTTCAAAAATGTTCTTCTATGGAAAACAAACCTAACTGACTGATCCTTCAAATCAATGTCTCAGCTTAAGCTTTTAAATCTGTGGGGATGGGGTGGGGTGGGGAGTGTCTGGAGATAGCCCACCAACAGAAAGGAAAAAGGAGGAAAATTGTATGGAAATATGTGCCTATCCATCAAAAAAGTTATTTTAATACACCCAGCAGATTTGGCTGCTTACAAGAAACTGATGCTGCTTTATAAACAGTGATATGAAAGGGCTGTGAGGATACACTGCATCAGAAATAAGATATTCCTTGTGTGTGATATTCTTTGTTAATTAGATATAGAGATGTGCAAATTACTTGGATTCAGTTCTATTTACTGCCAGTCCCAATAGAAGTGCCTCTGTTAATATTCTAAGCTGGCAGTTTTCTAAGTTCAGCAATTTGGCATTCATCCACCTATTCTCTTTGGGCAACTCACATTCTTCTTTGAAAACAAAAGTAAATGTTTCATTATCCAAAGCTCTATTTTCCACCAGCTTTTCCAAAGAAATTCAGAGAGCTTAAACACATCGCAAGAAAATCACAGACTGCTGTTTACCTGGAAGTCTTGATGGTTCCAGTGGAACGAGACTTCTGTAAAGAAGAAAGTTTCTGTTTTCACAAATAGAGTTGTAACTGCCTCCTGTTTCAAAAGGCCAAATTCTCTGCTTTTCACTGGAAGGGCAAATGCTGGTTTTGTGTGACAAGGCTCACTTTGCTTTACTTCATGTGACCTTTCCAAGCTGCTCAACAACCGGAATATATTTCACAGGGCTTTGATGGCCTTCTATCAATGCGAAAGACACTCCTGCCATCGCTTCTGTTAAAGCAAAGCAGTTGCAATAAGGGGATTGTAATGGAAAGTTGTCTGGATTCCAGGGACGAAGGGAGTGCATTACGGAAGAACAAAAAAGATACCTTGCAGTTTAGATAGTTTGTGTGGGAGAAAGAATGCTAAAATGGCTCTTCCTTTATAATCCCCCGAGTATACTTTTTATGGTGCCAGTAGTCTGCTTTATTTTGCCAATATTTCTGCCTATAGGAACAATAAAAGAAACTGTTTAGAAGAATCGCAACATGTCTTTCTCCATTTTTGGAGCCTCACAGGGATCTAAATACGTGAGTCCTTACTTTTTCAGGTACAACCACCACTAGTCCAGGTAGGTATCAACTGTTGCTCTGTGTTAGTCTAGAAAGCAGGTTTCTGGAATGAAGTACTCAATGACTATTTCAGCTTCAATCACAACAATACACGAGCAAATAAACTCAAGGTAAACTGCTCCAAACTCGATTGCAGAAAATATGACTTCAGCAACAGAGTGGTCAATGCCTGGAATGCACTACCTGACTCTGTGGTTTCGTCCCCAAACCCTCAAAACTTTAATTTTAAACTGTCCACCATTGGCCTCACCTCATTCCTAAGAGGTCTGTAAGGGGCCTGCATAAGTGCACCAGCGTGCCTACCGTCCCTGTCCTAATATTCCTTTTTACTCTTACTCTTTTCATGTATTCAAATTATGTTTATAGTTCTATCTGTTATCTTATATATGTTTGACAAATAAACAAAGAGTGGGAGAATGTAATTCCTTAAATCACCCCTTGGGGGAAAAAAATAGCTTCTCAAAGGCAACGGTTGCAAGGGCATGTTATATCAGCAAGGTCATCACCAAGGAAAATAGAACAAGCATGTCAGAGTTTTGCAGTACTGTGGCAATTCCATTTTTAACTCCTTCATTACTTTGTAGCATAGGCCCAGACTACTTGTTTCTCCAGCTGTTCTCTAGATTGGCCCAATGAGACTTTTAATAAAAGTAATCTTTTCATCCTTCCCCCTTTTTTTTCAGTGTGGAGAATTCCTATCCTCTTTTAGAAACTTCCTCATTTTCACTCTAATCACTTTAAGGTATAGCATTATTCTCTATATTCATCTGTTTCTTTTTCTGTATTTCTATAGTGCTTAACAATAGGAGACAGATCTCTAGAGTCTCTAAGACCCTCTTCTTTTGGACTTATTTTTCCACTTTACCTTAATTCCTAAACCTTTTCCCTTCCCCTCATCCTATTTGCCCCCTAACTAGTCATTTTCAGACAAATCTTGCGCTTTATGGTCATAGTCAGTGGTGGGATTCAGCCAGTTCGCACCACTTTGGGAGAACCGGTTGTTAACTTTCTGAACAGTTTGGCAAACTGGTTGTTGGAAGAAATCATCAGGGCAGAGAACTGGTTGTTAAATTACTTGAATCCCACCACTGGTCATAGTAAACTGAAGTAATGAAAAACCTGCTGCAACAATTCTGTTCAAATATACCAGCTTAGCACTTAATTCTAGAAAAAAAAATCATTAATAAAACACTTTTTTTGTGGTTTTCTTCTCTGCTACAACTTTTTTTTAAAAAAAACAACAACATTTATTTTGCATGTTAATTTTTCATTTTATGTTTCACAATTTTTTGAGCTTTAAGATTTTCTTGTAATTTTCCTAGTTCCTCCAATAAATTATTTGAGTACCAAGATGTATGTATTTAAACATCTGCAATAGAAGCTTTTTTAATTGCATTTAATTTCCCAAGTTCCATTTTCATCTGCTGATATATGGTATGAGATGGATTTCAAATCTCACACTTTGGAATATATCTGTTCACATGTTTTCTAGAACTTCTCTCATTGGGACAGCTTTCCTAATCATATATGCAAGTACTATACTACTTAAAGTAATAATAGTAATACCTAAAGATAGCTTATTGATTTTGTTAATATTATTGGGCGTTTTGGGCTATTATCAATAGAATGGCTCAGGAACTGAAGCATACTTTTTATATTTGAATTACTAGAGTAACAGAATTGGAAGGGACCTTGGAGGTCTTCCAGTCCAACCCCCTGCTCAGGCAGGAAGCTCTATACCATTTCAGACAAATGTTTGTCCAATGTCTTCTTAAAAATCTCCGGTGTTGGAGCACCCACAACTTATGGAGGCAAGTCGTTCCACTGATTAATTGTTCTCACTGTCAGAAAATTTCTTCTTAGCTCCAGGTTGGTTCTCTTCTTGATTAGTTTCCATCCATTACTTCTTGTCCTGCCTTCAAGTGCTTTGGAGAATAGATTGATCCCCTCTTCTTTGTAGCAGCTTCTTAGATATTGGAATATTGTTATCATGTGACCCCCTGGTCCTTCTTTTCATTAGACTAGATATACCGAGTTCCAGCAACCATTCTTCATATGTTTTAGTTTTCAGTCACTGAATCATCTTTGTTGCTCTTCCCTGCACTCTTTCTAGAGTCTGAACATAACTTCCACCACAATTCCTATGTAACTGTTCTTCTCACTAATCCTAGCCTTAATTTTATCTAATTCTTTTACCTTGTTTCATTTTGGCACAGTGGGTGACCAAAATGTTTGTTTGGGGAAAATTTTATTTATTGGTTGATTTATTCATATCCTGCCTTTATTATTTTTATAGGTAAGTCAAGTTTGTGAACATCTGTAATACTCCTTCTTCCTCCTATTTTCCACACAATGACCACTCCATGAAAGGGTTGGAATGAGAAAGAGACAGAGATTGGTTCTAGGTCATCTAGATGTCTTTCATATCTAAGTTGCGACTAAACCTCTCAGATTTCCCATTTCAAAACTGGTGCCTTAACCACTAGATCTAATTGACTTTCATTTTTGAACCCAATGAAATCCAGCTTTATGTACCTAGCTGGTTATAGCAATTCATGGTTCATAGACAAATCCTCAATTAAAAATAACAACTAGCCCATCTATATATCAGCTATTTCAATGGCACTGCCTTACTAGTGAGTGCCTTTATGTTCAAGTATTCAAACAGGATAAAGTGAAGATCATCAAAGATTTAATGGAGTTATCTATTTCAGGAAGCAACATGAACTGCAACCACCAAACGTTATACGGCAACAGTGGGGATATCTTAATCTACCATCTTAACCACCTAAAACCATCACAGTGGCTATTCAATTACAGTGTTCCATTAATGACAATAATTGAAACAAATAGGACAGGATGGACATTCCATTTATTTCTACAACTAAGTTTTTGAAAGCTTTTCAAAGTATCATCGACTGCCCAGATGTCACAACTAGTCCTGTAGGTCTGATGCTGTACTCCTGACTCTTATTCTAATGCAATTAATTTTCCACTTTGTTTCATTAGATTAGCTAGCATATTTACTGCAGGATAAAATTGTGATTATTTTGGGAACAAATGCACTTAAACTTGTAAATTAATGACAAGTGACATATGTGGTCCATGCCTTTGAATATTAGTTCTTCAGCACTGCAGCTCTCTCTATTTCTGTTTTCTGAAGCCAAGACTTATCAAGCAAATGAAATACAGGTAATCCTCAGTTGCCAACTGCCTCGGATAGTGACCATTCATAAATATGAGGGCAATAAACATGAGGGCAGTTGAATATGAGGACAGTTGAAAAATCATTTTTCAATCAATGCATGCACTTGTTCCCAAATTTCTGCACCTGATAACAACACATGTCAGA